TGAAGACTGATAGAAACGAACCTTGTCCTGAGTCCATTATATGCATAATTATTTCCAGTCGGACCGTGGACGTGTTACATTCCCAGACGTTTCGCCGGCATCGTAGTTGGCATCGTCAGTGAGTTTCACCATTCGTAGCACTATATTACAACTTGTCAAAGAGACAAGTGAAGCAGATCCTTTGACCAAACGTGTGCTAAACAGTTATGATATCTCCCGTTCTGCCCTGGCCTATTCACATTTCCTATATTCTCCTATCACGCCTTCCCTGTCACAATTTTCACCGCGCTTATTTATAATGTAGTGGGGTGTGCTCCTTCGAGCGGCATTTATGAAAACCCTTCACACTCCACTGTCGTTATCACCCCCTTCACCCTTTTTTTGGGAATGTTGACCTGAGTCTGTCATTTTGTTACGTTACAGACTGGTCAACATTCATAGCACAAGGGTGAAGGCGGTGATAATGACAGTGGAGTGTGAATGATTTTCATGAATGCCGCTCGAAGGAGCACACCACACTACATAATAAATAAGCATGGTAAAAATGTTGACTATGAAGGTATGATAGGACGATATAGGAAATGTGAATAGCCCAGGGTAGAAGGAGAGATACCACAAATTTTTAGCACACGTTTGGTCAAAGGATCGATTTAACTTGTCTCTTTGACGAGTTACTTAGTGGCGAGACTTACTGACGATGCCGGCGAAACTTCTGGGAATGTACCACGTCCACGGTCCTACTCTGGAAATTATGATGCATACAATGGTCACCGGACTAGGTGCGCCCCTCTAAGCACTTCTACCAATATGACCAAGTTGCGAAAACAAGGTCAAATAACTTCTATACAACGAAATGAGACTGCGACCACACAAAAGGCCACACCATCTTGGTCTTCATACCTTCGATTTATCTACATCGTTTTTTTTAGCATGTATCATTAACATGTTTTTGCGATTGCTTTACAATTTGATTGTTTCATTATAATACACATTTTCTTCCTATTTCTGGCATATTTCTTGTTTACTTAATAACATCTATTGTCTTACTTAATTTAGGTTCTCTTGGCCACACCTGGGGTCGTGCATACTATTACCAGTCCAACAAGCTTCCGAGCTGAATATCGTCGTGCCGGTAGCGGGTCTAGCCTATTGGCCCGGCCTGTCAAGCTACAGGTAGACATGGTGCGAGCCACAGCCTCAGCTGCCACCCTGGCAAATGTGTCATCTTCAATTTCGTCACCATTCGCTTCTTCCTCTCCATCCTCTCAAATGACTGGACAAATTATTGGATCGCCTATATCTGGCCTCTCTGTGCCACCTGAGCGAGAACTATATGCCGTCAACTTTCAACTACTTTCTGGTAAGTATTGTTTAACGTATTATTATATCCTACCTTCGTGATTCAACCCAAATCTTATGTATTAAATCTAGTCTACTTAACTTTCACGTGAAACAGTTGACTTTACACAACTAAATTAAATTTAATGTACTTCGTATTTGAAGTAAAGAGTTTCTCACATTTTGGAATTTTCCTTATCCCAGGCTTAGCACAGCCTCTAAACAAGATTTGTGTCTACTTTCTGTGCCTTTTCTTATTGATCTATGAATTATAATTATGTTGTATTCTTCGACTCATTCTTGCATATCTATTGTCAATAACTGATTAAACACTATCTTCATCATACCAGTTTCTTCTCTCTTCTTGATCGGTAGAATCGGGTACTGGTATTTGCATACTTTAACACTTTGAGTGTCTGTAGAATTCATAGCATAAAAACCCTTATAATTATTATCATTTGTTTATTTGCGGTTGATGAGATGCCCCTCTTAAAGACTTGCTCATAAACTGATCTCATAATTGTCACTGTTACCAAATAAACATCACCCCCCTCCCAGTTTAGAATATGAATTTTTACGGAATACTTCTGTTACTCATCGGTGCAGATCGGTTGAAGGCATTACAAGACTCCGCTATACTACTCAATAAAGAGCTTCCTTACCTTGAATATTTCCCCAAGAGTAAAAGTTGCATGATGGCTTGATGATAACTAATCGATTTACTGCCATTTTTGCTCTGCTTATTTGTCAGGACACAGCTATTCGTTAATGACGAAAATTCTGCATCCAAATAGATTATTAGTCTTCTTTTTGGTGTTGCAGAACAGTCTTTTACTATGGATTTCATAATCACAATAAAGTCATCGATTCAGAGCTAGCTTTCCAAGTACTGTAAAGTTTGAACGAAGCTCTTTAAATAACAAAAAGGTTTGCTTCCTACTGATCCTATTTCGGGCCACCCATTGCAGCCAACTTTGCTTTTGAAGTCTTTACTT